GGGAGGGTTGGTGGGGGTTCTCGATGTGGTACCCCTGCCACGTGGTGGGTGATTGGCTGGCGAATTGTGCCTACGGTAGAGGTCGACGCGTGAATTTCCTGCACCTCTCTCCTCTATCGCTCGCGCTGCACCCGTCCCTCTCCTGATGAGTGTTTTCGTTTTTGCCGGAACACTGCGGTGTTGCGTACTTCAGCAAAGCAAAACGTTTTGCCTTGTGTGGTCAGACGTGTTTTTTTTCCTTCTCTCCAGTTTAATTTGGGCACGACAACGCGTGCTTTTTGCTGATACTGTGTGCTGGAAACACATCCGCGTCCGTAGGCGGAGAACGGCGAGACGGAGCGAGCGAGGCAGCTTTTCGAAAGGCTACTCGAGCGCACTCAGCATGTCAAGGTGTGTGTGTATACATGCGGTGTACTGTGTATTTATGTATGGTTATCTGCTGCTGCTGCTGCTGCTGCTGCTGTGTTGACGTCACAATGCATGGATCGTGGTGTCGCTAAAGAGTGTAGCATGGCGGGGCACAAGTACCGAGAACATATGCCAAGAAGAACATAAAGTGACATCACCGCACGCTTTTCTCATGCCCCTCATCTAGGAAGACTTGCAGCAGAACAGCGTTCGTGAGCGAGCTCTTGTCATGAAAATTCCTGGTGTGTCACCGCTCTTCCTGTAACAACACGCAGGTGTGGATAAGCTACGCGCAGTACGAGGCTAAGACGGAGCTAGACACGGCGAGAGCTGTCTTTCGCCGCGGCTACGACCACCTCCGCAGGCAGGGGCTAAAGGAAGAGAGGTCGGTGCTATCTTTCGCCCTTGTGGCGTGTCGTGTGTCGTGTCGTGTGTTGTGTGCTGTGCTGTGCTGTGCTGTGTGGTGTGTGACCCGTTGTGTATGGCGTGATACGTTGTGTAGAGGTGCGTGTTTTGTGAGTGGTGTCTTGTGTGGAGTTTGATTTGATACGTGGCGTTAGCGGTGTATGTTGTGTGTATGATTTGTCGTGTGGAGTTTGACACGTTGTGTTTTGAAGTGGGCGTTGTTTCTGTTGAGTGTTTGTGTGGGGTGTGATGTGATGTGGTTTGTTTTGTTGTCTTACGTTGGGGCCATGCCGGTCGGAATGGGAGAGAGTAGAGTCGATCGAGAGGATGGTTGTAATTTCCAAACTCTGGTAGCACTTCTAGACATGATGTAAGATTGTTGGGCACTCTGTATTTCAGACATAGAAAATAACCTGCTTCGTGTGCCACGCTCTCATCCTGTTGTTCGACGGTTTGCATAACCTGCTTTTCGTTCAACGCACAGAGTCAAGCTCCTAGAGGCGTGGCGAGCAGCCGAAAAAGCGGAGGACAAGGGCAAGACGAGGGGACTCAAGGTATGCTTAACATCAATTCACGTGACAGGCGGCGCTGTGCGTGTCTCGCGCAGGGTTCACCCCCGCTGCGTGTTTATCTCTGCCGATTATTGGCCTCCGAAGGTTTCTCGTGGTGCACACACTTGTATCGCTTGTTGTGCACTCCAGCAACCAATCCCCCGCCCTCCACGTTCTCTCGTGTGTGCGTGATTTTGACGATAATGGTACTCGTTGACCAATACCTGGTATAATGTAATTGTTCCACCGCTGTCGGAACAGCATTGGACACTGAATTGCTGAACCCCAGCGTCTGTGTGTGTCGTGTGTGTGCATTCGCTGCCTGTGCTGTGATTGTGGAGGAGTTCACACCGCCGCCGTGGGCTTGCCCCTGTTGTGTTTGACAAGTCACTGTATGGTAGAATGCAGATCGCTTTTTGCCGTATCTGCCACCCCATGGGTGCAAACACGGGACCCCGTCGTCCCCCTCACGCTCCCCCCGCAGGGCTTGCACGGCACCGCGCTTGGCGCCTTGGGTCGCTCGCGTCGCTACCTCCTTTATTTTTTTGTCAGGTTGTTGTCTGCTTTGTGCCTTGTCTCATGCTCCATGTACGCTGTTCTACCCTTCCTTTGGAACAATGCTCCCTACACAACTTCTTGAACGGAACTGACTTCGTGTTTATTTGTTCTGCTGCCGAGAGCAGGAAGTGGAGAGCAAGATGCCGCGCAAGTTCAAGAAGCGGAGAATGATGACCGGCACCGACGGGGAAGGGATGGGGTGGGAAGAGTACTACGACTACCAGTTCCCGGACGACGAGACGAAGCCGGCGAACCTCAAGATCCTCGAAATGGCCCAAAAGTGGAAGCAGAAGAAGGGCGCCGGCGAAGATGGCCTCGCGGGATTCAAGCTTGGCGGAGGCGGCGGGGCTGAAGGGGGTGAGGAGGGCGGCATGGTAGGCACCAAGCGCAAGTTGGAGGGGGGGGGAGTCGAAGATGAGGAGATTCAACTCGAGGAGGAGGAGAAGGAGGAGGAGGAGGAGGAGGAGGAGGCACCTGGGGGAGGAAAGGAACCCGAGCTGAGCAAAAGAAAACTTAACAGCAGCCACGAGGAAGAGGAGGAGGAAGAGGAGGGGGGCGAGGAGAGAGGCGAGGGTGACGGGGCGGAGAGAGGGGAGCCGGCAGAGGCTTCGTAGAAGCGATGCCGGGGAAGGAGAGGTATCCGCCGCAGAACCGTTAGAAATGGGTTTGCGGGTTGGCGGCGTTCCTACTCGGAAGACAGCAGAAAGTTAAAGTTATCAAGAGAATGTGCGGTTTCGCAAGATGGTGTTCTTCTTGCCGTGGTGACGGATCTGCCTTATGTCACGCGCGTACGCTAGTATCTTCCTGCGTCAACCTACTTCGTCGTTTGCGGCTGTGGCATGCAGTTGCTTAAGAGCGGTTGACGTGTCTTGCCCCTGCGTCGGAATAGGGCCGGTGGCTGGGCAGGACAGGGAAAAGACTCTCCGTTGTATCTACGGCAGCTACGGAAGTAGTTGGTTTTACCGTGTTTCGTGCTCTTTTTGGGGGATGGGGGAAGTTAGCTGCTTGATACAAGTGGCGTGCTTGCGTGTGCCGTGAAATGTGCGGGTATTGTGGGTCTCGACCGACTACCGTATGGAACCCGGCGCCCCTACTGTACCAGTGTTCGAGCCTACGGAATATTTTTGAGGCTACGTACGCATACGCATACAAATCCGTGCACACTGTTGAAAATCCCAAAATGTTGAGGAAAACAAACCACCCAGACCACAGACACACATAAACGCCGTGTTGTGGCCACTGGTATCGGTTTCTCCCACAGACTGACGCTCGCGAGACCGGGAGAAAGTGCTAGAAAATTGTAGCCTGAGGTGCTCACGAAAGAAGTACACTTCTAAGTGGAAACCTGCGTGCGTCGTGTTTGGTAATCATTTTCGTCGTTGACAAGGAAGTGTACGTTGGGCAACAATAATCTGGACGGAGTTGTGAGAGAAAGTCATGAGGGCAGTGCTGTTGTTGGTCATGTTCTAGCCGTTGTGTTCGTGAGAGGGCGACGAAAGAAAGTAGAACGAAAGCTTGGACGATTGTTTGTTGGCCGTTCAAGCTTTGCTTTTGGTGGTGGGGTGTACGGAGAGAGAAAATGAACAGAAACGAAATGTATGCGAACCCAAGTGAAACAATTAATAAGTGTTCCGTGTGTGTGCATCAGAGGCGCCTAGTACGTTGGTTGTTGTTCCAACGAGGGTCGGGGAGTGAGACGGCGGTGCAGCCCGCGGTAGCTACGACGACGTCACCAACGGTTGGTTTGCCGTCTTATGTAAAACACTCTTCAATCCCTCCTCTCTCTCGGTGATGATGTCCAACGGACACTGGGCACCCCCTTCACGCCTTCACGTTGAAGCCACGATCGGCCTTACTTGGGGGCAACATTACTGTAATTTGGTCACACTGGCCTTTTCGATTCAAATAATAGCCCTCTCCATCTGCAGACATGATGCATTCACTTGTACAGCAGCATAATGCAGGTAGCGGTGGAACATCGAGAGGATCACGACGTGGCTCTTACGTCATATCCATCCATACGGAGATACACCTTAGACCAACAAGATAGTTACCTCGCTGGTGTGGTCCGCCACCCCCCCTTGTGGCTTCCAGTCCTTTCCATATCATGTACTTGGCTGTACGCACATGCTTGTGGAATGTCGGCTGGTGCGCCGTGAACACTTTAACCACCCATCCCTGTTCCTCCTGCTGCTGTCATTGTCGTGGCAGTTGTGATCAGGGCTACGCGCCTTCCGCTGCCACAGTAAAAGGAGTTGATCGTTCTCGGACAAGAGTAACATCCACAACCGAGCTGCAAAAAAAATCGCACGAAATTATTTGGTGTAGCGCCAGAAGAAATTGTTCGTTGTTCATCTTTGTTGCCAAGCTTCAAGCACGGCTCCTTTGTGAAATATTCAGCAGATCAGGTGCTCAAAAACAAATAGGACGCGGTCACCCCGATACGACTGACTGAGTCATTGCAGTACTTGACACCATCATCATTGATGCAATCCCTGCGAGCGAGGGGCTTCGCACTGATACGTATCACGCACAAGCTGATGCTGTGGGGGTTACAGCTTGCACAGCATCTTGCAGAAGAAAAATAGATACATGTTGTATATGAGCACCAGAAAACAACCATTATCTCTCGGAATTGTTTTTTGACGTAGTCAGTGACACAAAAACAAATGAACATTTCGTCTGACGTTTTGCGTATAAAGCCCCGGGAGAATTGGTGTGCGACCTGTTATCGCGAGTGAGTGCAAGGGGGAGAGGGGGCGTGTGGCAACCACTTCGCAATCCCGCCGTCGGCAGAGCATAGGCAGAGTCCCCGACAAGGCGAGACGCCCCTAGTGCTCGTGTATATTACCCCGCTCTATTGTGGCGTCAACTGGCTGCTGTGGTCATCTGCAGGATTCGCCCGCCCGGGATCTTCGTCTGTCGGCCGGCTTTGTTGGACAGATAAGAGTATGTATGTACAGACAGCGACCCGCAGAGGGACCCGGAAAAAGAACAGTAAGGGCAACATCAAGGGACGAAAAGAGCGGTCGCAACGGCCCTCGGACCGAATCTCGCCAAGCGCAGCAGCGCTAGGAGATGAGCGTTCTGCCGAGATATACGGTAAAGGGGTGGGGTAGAGGCTCGGCCTGTGGAGCGCCCGACAAGTAGGGTGCCACAAGCTGGAAAACAATTTTCAGAATGAGGACCAGTTGCACGGCTAATCTATTTGCAGATGATGTTGCTGTTGTTGTTGTTGTCTTAATATGCATGTTTACATCTTATTTGACAGTCTATTCTTATGATCAATTTTAAGAATTGTTTTTGCTTTCGATAAAAAAAAAAGTTTCGGGTACAAGTAGGGGTAGGGCTTTTTGCTTACACCCCGCCACACAACAACAACAGCAACAGCACTTGCATCACGGCGATAACGTGCGACCCAACCCCCGCTGCCACACAGCCGATCTCTTCTTCTCCCTGTGCATGCCCTTCTGCGGCTTTTTCGAGCAAGCGCGGCATCCATCGATAAGCGAGCAGGAGCACGCACACACAGCGGCGGCGTTCACAAAAGCGTAACATGCCTGTGCATAAACTTCTCCACAGGCGAACACCTTCGCCAGTCATGCCCGCATCATCATCTCGGACACCCAGCAGCAGCACGGCGCCTGCTGCGGCCGCCGCGGCCCCGACTGCCGCTGCTGCCGCTGCTTCGCCGGCGTCCAAGTACCCACGATTCGGCAAGCGGGGAGCCCCCCAGGCTTTCCCTTCCAAGCTCTACGAGATTCTGGAGGGCGAGAATCCGGACATCGTGGGATGGACTGCAACGGGAAGGGGGTTCGAGGTGAGTGGTGTCTCCCTTTGGGTGTCTGTGTGTAATTTTTGTTCCACAGGTTTGTGGTGTGCGTTGCAACGACATTCCACACGGATATATATTTAGGTCCTTCGCTGCCAGATAAGCTGCTGAGCTGTCCCTTCTGCAGCAGCAACAGCATCTGCGGTGTTTGCTCGCGTACGTTGGTGGTGCCCGGTTACTTACAGGTGTGTTTGCTGTTTGCCGCCGCTGTGCTGGTTGTTGCTCGTTCTCTCTTCTGCCGATTTTTCGGAATATCTCTTCCTCGCGAGCGAACCTGTGTACGTCTCTCTCTCTCTCCATGCCTTTCTTCTCCGTATCTCCGTTGTAGCCCTCTTCTTCTCTGCCGACCGCAAACGAAAACAAGTGCAGTGCGCTTACATGCACCGTGCACACTCTCGAGAGTGTGCGCTGTTGACCGGAATTGCAAAACCACGCGTGCCCCTCTACTCAAACAACGCACTCTCCTTTCTCGTGTCAGACCGGGCCCAAAAACAATCGTTCCATCTTTTTTATTTGCTCTCCGGCAAAGATTGAGACAGAAGGAGGTACTGGATAGAGAGACCGGGATGGTTTTTAATGTGAAGACAACAACAACAACAACAACAAAGACCCAAGCGGGCTTTCGGTTGTCCGATTTATTTTTTCTTACAATGCGCGAAGTACTTTACAACGAATCAATCTGTATCTCTATCTTGAGATATACCGTAATTTCATATGTCTACGATGTATGTGCAATCAATCCGTAGGGCCAGCGGGAGCTACCACGATTTCCCGGAGCAGCATATCTCCCCTGTGGGTAACAGACTCTACGAGACAGTAGTTTGTCCGACGAGAGTTGATCTAAGCATTTTTTTTACCCACACACACGCACCCACGGGAACTTCAGCCAGGCAACGAGGTCTTTGGCATTAATATCTGCGTACACCAGGGTGTGCCAGGTGAACTCCACTCCTCTTTTCCGATCGGGAATCTCCACACAAGATGTAAGCGCCAGGCCGTTGGTGGTTGAGGCCTCTCTTGTGCTGTTCGCTCACGAGACGCTCCCCCACTAGTAGTGCTGCTGCGGGTCGTTGCACATGGTTGCGACCAACTAGATGTTAACAGAGACCCGTTTACTCCCTCAAAAGTTGCAACTTTCAACCTTTTTTCTTCCCTTTCAAGCAACGAATATTTTTGAGGCTCTTTACTACATAGAGAGGCTGACATTGTTGGCGTCTGTTGGCTTTCTTCGCCGCCGAGTCGGCTGCGCTGGGTTGGTTGCCCGCATGCGATGTGCTGTTGCTGGTGAACCGAGAAGCTATCAGCCATCCTGTTAGCTGCTGTAAACACGTTCCCATTTTAGCGCGAAATTAAACGACAGTTCGCAGCAATGAAGATCGCTTGTTCTTTTTTTTTTCAGAAATGGGCCTTGGCGGGTTATTTTTGGTGCAGTAAGTATGTTGTGCTGCTACACACGTGCGTGTGATCGGATCATGGCTTTGTTTTTGCCTTCGTGCTTACGACATGGATGGATGGCATCGCGAGATTTTCGCAAAACCCGAGTTTTGTTGAGCCCACGCACAACGGAATGAGTAACTACTGCTGTTGTGCTTTTTATTTTTGTTATTTTTACACGTCTGGCGGGGACATTTTTCTGTCCGAGTGCGTCATTACTTTCTGTACCCCCGTGCGCTCCCCCCGTTGCCCATATGAATACGTAAAGCTAGGATACGGAACAGAAAAAACGATGGATTTCTGTCGACGCACTGCAAGCGGACACCACCTCCGGTCATCTCTCACCCTGTGTGCAGTGCAAGATCCTGGCGTTGCCAAGCCTCGTTTGCCCGCGCTCTCTGATGCGGGTTTTCTGTGTTGGTGGTTGGGGTAATCGAGAACACAATAGATCAATCATGTATCACATTGGGTTGGCTTTGCAGAGACAAGGAAATTCGGTTCTTTGTGTTCAGTCAAACGAGGAGCTCAAAATCGAAATCTACGGGAGGCACACACGAGAATACTTTTTTTCGTCTCTGCCGCTGTACCTGTCGTAACCTGACAGACCCGCCGCGGTCATGACGCATCCATGTGGTCTCAAGCCAAAGGTTGTTGGTCGCATTGGTCTTGAACTAACATAAACCCACAGCGGCGGCACTACAAAGAAAATGCACCTACCGAACAATATATTTTTTTTTTCTCGAAGATGTGGTGCCAAGACAAAAATTCATGTACCGAACAGCAGATCCGAGATAGATTAGCAGCGAAGACTCCATTGTAGCGTGAACGGATACCTGCAAAACCTGTGTTTCTACAGATTTTGCTAAGCAGTAACGCGGCGATACCTCCTTGTCAACCTTGCTCCTCTCATTCGCTTTCTGTGCCTTTGGTACGCACCACTTGTACTTGCTTGCGTTCACTCGTCTCATGGCTCTTGGGTGTCGTTTTTGTTCTGACCACCGGCGGCACCTCACACCGTAACCCCGAACAAATCTCAGGTCCGCGACCACGCCCGGTTGAGCTCCGAAGTGTTGGGCCGCTTCTTCAAGCAGGACAAGTTCTCCAGCTTCCAGCGCCAGCTAAACCTGTACGGCTTCCGCAAGATTACTAAAGGCAGCGAGAGCGGCTCCTACCAGCACCCCCACTTCCGCCGCGGAGAGCGGACGACCTTACTCACCATCCGCCGATCGACCAAGGCCTCTCCCGCCCGCGTCGCCGTCCCGGTCTCCCCGGCATCCGCCGGCACTGGCACTGGCACCCCTCCGCCCGCCGCCCACCTCAACGGCAGCGGCGGCGGCAACAACAACAATGTATCCATCACGAACGGCGCCGCCTCCGACAAGCGCCCGAGATCCGCG